ATAATCACTATTAAGTCCAGAATGGTCCACAGGTCAAACTTTGCACAAGACAAGCTACAAAACATTGTCCAATATCTCTGCATCCTACAAGAAGATGCAGTTAAGAATCCCATACTTACAATGAAGTAACCTAATGTTAGTGTGTTATGTTAATATCTTTTGGAATTAAGTTTCATTTAGAAACAATTTTGAGCATACTGTTAAATTACCAAAAGGTTCTTTATGAATGGTAACTGATTTTCTTAGATTCTTTGCAGTAAATTGTTTAATATAATGAATTGACAAACTTTATAACTGTTCTTACTGATGTGTTTCTAATGATGAAGAGCACATACTGTAATATTAAGTAACACATACCAAAACTTCATAAGCTAAATGGCTTCATTACAATTGCATTTTTTACTGTGCAATTTGTAGTTTGGTGAGTTTTTTGATAGATGAAAAGTCCTCAAGTATGAGAGCTGGAACACAAAGAGCTGCAGCACAGACTTCACCTTCCGCCCCATTGCTGCCTTAGTAACCTGCATTGGTCCCTACATAAAGTGACCTGTTTTCTGAATATGAGAATAATTTCTGTCCCTTCACTGCTTGACATCTTTTCGATATGCAGACAATTTATTGCTAGTAATTTAATCTAACATATCTGCGTGCAACTCTCAAGCTGATGCTAGTCATGATTTTGGTGACCAAGCATATTGAATGCATAGTCCTTGCTTGAAGGCAGAAAATATTATTTCCATTGATTTTTGGTACAAAGTACAGCCAACTTTCAGCTGACGTCTCAAGTCTGTTGCAAGTCAACACCAGATGCTTCAGGAAACCTTACCCTGGTAAGGTTTTGTTTCTTTAGAGTGTAGAACAGGCTTTCCACCATGCTGTTGCATCTTCAGAGGACTGTGGCAGAGTATTGGCTTCAGCTATGACCCACTTTACATTGTTTTTTTCATAGCATCGCAATCTGTACATAGTCTGACATCACCGTGTCTATTACACAGATAGGCAGTGCCAAACTCTAATAAGGAAGCCGTCATTGCAATTATAATTGGTTTGTGCATATGCATATATGTATACATAGTGTGTACATTTTTTTGGGATTTGCCCTACTGGTACCAAAAAACATGTATAGTTGCAGGTCTATTTTGTCAGCTCTGAAGAGGTCAGAAGAAGAAGTTTAAGTTTGTTTGTGTTGTGATCATAGAAAATGTTGAAAGAAAAAGGGTAAGGAGGGTTACATATTTGCTACTAAAATCCAAAATACGCAAGTAGTATGTGAGATGTACACCCAGTTCTTTGAGCAAATGAAGCTAGTATGCAAGCATGACAAGATGAACAGAGAGAGGGGAGGATGCAAGAACGGCATCATATCATATTAAAACAAATGCATCTGAGAAGAGGAGAAAGGATGAGTAACTAGAATCAAACGCAGTAATTAGAGGTAGAAATTCATCACAAATCTCCTGAGCTATTTAGTCCTCCAAAGTAAACTATCTTCTTAAAACAGGTAAAAGCAGTGGATCATTATGAGTATTTTCAAGTGCTTGACTGATTCTTGTAGTCAGTCTTGCCGGCCTTGTGGGCAAAGCCATCAAATTGGAAGAGACAAAATAGGTAGAAAAAATATTTTCACAAAGATTCACAAGGAATAGGATGGTCATCTCAAAGGAATTGTTCCACAGTCACCACACAGTTTAACAGGGTTCACAAGCCTTTGTCCAGATGCCGTATAAAAATTAAAACTCAGGAGATAAAGCACATCAAGACTAATTTTGCTAAATCGGTTTGCATGCAACCTTCAGCTCAGTATTTTTTGTTACTCACTGTAATGTTATCTTGTCGTTGAACTGCAAGACTGAGGAGTGCATTTTTCTCCTCTTTATTATCAAGAGATTGTTTTTCTTCCTCAGTTCTTTAATCTGTATTATTGGGGAGAACATATCTGTAGCTTTATCTCCAGCAAAAGCTTTGGACTTATTTCAGTAAAGTCAGCTTTGCCTCAGAAGTAGATCTTATTACCATTATGTCCATCCTGAAAGGATGTCCCAGACTCGTGTGGAATTCTCACCATGTACAAGGGTCAGAAATAAACTAATAATGTTTGCAAGGTGGTCATGGTGAAACAAGAAGCAGAAAAAAGCTACTTCTTGAGGTTTGCAGTCAGCATTTAGCCTGATCATTTGCTAGACACAGAATGACTTTGACAGATTAGTGAGGGCAGAAGGCTAGAAGCAAATGGGTAAGAATGAAGAAGATGGAAAATGTGATAAAACAGGGTAGAAAACTTCATGACTTATCTAGAGAGGGAGCTTGCTAAAATCACCTGCCTGACATCATACAACATAAACTTTGACCGGTAATTGTAAAACCTAAGAATGCCTACCTGTAATTGATAGGTTTCTTTGGCTCCAGAGTAGTCTCGTGAAGGTTTCTGCCCCATCTTTCCTTTGGATACTTTAAAACTAAAGTATGTGTAACATTATACATGGGTTACAGGGACCAAAAATAATGGGGTAAGGCTAGGCAGCACAATTACTGCTTTCCACTCCCAATTCTTTGTGCTAAAGAGATTAGAATTTAGTGAAGATCAGCCCTAGCTTGTCTTTTTTTCCTTGCTGATTAACAAATGCAACAAAATGCAAACCCTGAATTTAACAACTATTCTAAAGTTACCTGTCAAAATACTGCAGTTGCAAATCCCTTCAGGCTACTAAAGCAATTCCCAGGTAACATGCTAATATGACTGATGCTGAGAATATCCAGGAAGAAGAAAAAACCACATATATATTGTCACAGTACTAAATTTTTTTTTTTCTGAGTCCAATATAAAATCAAGTAAAAACAATTAAGACTTGCCTTTTGTGAGGATAGCAGCTAAGAACTAGAGGTTATCAATACTTTTTCAAAAGCAAGTGGTACATCTTCCTGTACTATTAGTCTGAGTTTCTTTATATGTAGACAAAGATATAAAACCAAGATTTTTGTTTTGGTTTGTTTTTTTATAAAATGTATTCTAAACTGATTCTGGGATTTATTCATCAGCAACTTAACTGTCACCTGAAAATAATAATTGCATATGTATCATAGACCTTTTAATGAGTGTGTTATTAATAGCTCTTCCCCGATACCAGTGACCATCTGTGACTGCTTCACCATCTGCGATTGCTCTTTCAGCTTGGGAAGGGGAAATAGCAATGGTATTGCCCAGAATGTACAATATAAATTTTTAGTCAACCAGACCTACTGTAGATGATTAATTTGTCTTTGATTATGAGTACACACTGAGCAAGAGAAAATTAGTTTCGATTTGTTGGCACAACATGGGTTTGGGAAATGGCCACAGGAAGCTGAAAATGAAATTAAATTGCATTTATTGAAATCTGAGGCATGCAAAAGTTGATGGAATTTAGATGAAGAGGATGAAAAGAGCTTAAATGACACTTGAAAAGGTAGTGAATGTTTCTTTAAAGATCTGTGACAAATGATGTGTTGATTATTGTGATTTGCTAAGGTTGGGAAACAGGAGTAGCAAAAGAGGGTTGTCAACACTTTCTAAAATCTTTCACCATTTCTTGATGACATATTAGAATAAACAGAGAAAATAGTGATTTATAAACTCCTAATTAAAATTCTTGTTAACTTTTTATCTAAGTGAAGTAGCATTTTTTTTTCAGAAGAAATCAAATGTTTAATTAATAATAGTTAATACTTGCTAAAGTGCCGATCTTGCCTGCAGAGACAGAAGACTTCAGTTGGTTAATACTCTTTCTACTTTCCTTATTAAACTGTACTAAAGTGTTTCCATATTTCACTATTAACACAGCTGCATTCCATGATGGCTGAGGTGATTTTTTTTAGTGTATGTTTAGGTCAGTCTCTTTTCCTTTGCTAAGGCAAAATTTGTAGGAAACTACTTGGATGGTAGAATACAATTTCAAAGTCATTCAAGTCCCACTGGGTAATGTACCTGCATTCTTTGTGGGCCTAAATATATTAAAAAATAAAAAGAACTTCTCAAAACCACTTGTAAAGTAGGGTGCAATTCAGATTGCATTTAACCAGTTGCAGTGTTTAGTTGATGGAGAGAGGAAGGCACTTCCAAAAAATGACTCATCAGCCTAAGGTAAATACTTCCCCTAGATCAGGATGAATATCACACTTCCACCATTAACTGTAGGGAAGTCCGGACATCTGGACTGAAATAGAATCCTATATTTTTATGCTGCTTAACTTTTTTTTTTAAGAAGTTTTAAACTATAGCATTGGAACTAGAACAAATTTCAGTTAAGAAAGTCTTCAGTGAACTCAAGAAAGTGCATAGCACTTTTCTAAAGCCCAAGAATCTTCCCTGAAAACTTATATATGTAGCAGCAGAAGTGAGGCAAAATTTGCAGCATTGACCTAGAACTACCTGTTGTGCTAGATGTGTTGTCACCAGAAAGTCCTCCTTTGGTGTCTGGATTTCAGTACAAGTTTTAACTGCTTAGTATGCACTCAGTGTCTGGCTCAGAGACTCTTATTTGATTATATAGATTGCACACATATTTATATATGAATATATATATGTACATTTATAATTATATTTTTCTATCAGATGTTATATACAAGGAAGCTGGATAGGCCTATATTTATTCCTCTCCCACACTAACATGCACTGTACATGTTCATTTATAAGCATATAAAAATAAAAAACTTTTTAATTGCAGTCCATTCAGGTTCTGGAATATAAAGTAAACTTTACAATCTTAGGCTAAACAAAGTCTTAGTGTGTGGCGCCCTTATTTTCTTAGACTGATTAGATTCCTGACCTTTAGCAGGTTGATGGCAATTTTTTTCATGACATTTTCTGCTTCTTATCCAAAGATGAGACAAGCTTTCCTCTCCATTAGAGAAAGTTTGTGGTTAAGATATAAAGCCATACCATAAAAAACAAAAAAATTAAATCACTTATTAAATTGCCATCAAATTTCTGGAACAGTGATCCAGTTGTGTTTCTTTTCTTGCAGACAAAAGGTTCTTCAAGCATAACTCCATCAGGCACTCAAAAGAAGGTGAAGAGGACTCTGCCCAACCCACCTCCAGAGGAAGCAACAGCAGGAACACAGTCGCCATATACTTCTGTGGGATCAGTTTCACGGAGAAGGATTTGTAGGACCAACACTATGGCCAGAGCCAAAATTCTTCAGGATATAGACAGGGAATTGGATCTGGTTGAACGTGAATCAGCCAAGCTTAGGAAAAAGCAAGCAGAGCTAGATGAGGAGGAAAAAGAAATAGATGCCAAGCTGAGATACTTGGAAATGGGTATTAATAGGAGAAAAGAAGCCTTACTGAAAGAAAGAGAAAAGAGAGAGCGTGCCTATCTCCAAGGAGTAGCAGAAGAACGTGATTATATGTCAGACAGTGAAGTTAATAATACTAGGTCAACCAGAATAGAAACTCAGCATGGCTTGGAAAGACCACGTACTGCACCCCAGACAGAATTTAACCAGTTTATGCCACCACAAACCCAGCCAGAAACACAGTTTGCCCCTGCTACAAGCCCATATGCTCAATATCAGTATTCATCTCCTGCCCTGCCAACTCAAGCACCAACTCAGTTCACACAGCAGTCACATTACCAACAGCAGCCTTTATATCACCAGCAGGTTTCACCCTATCAGACCCAGACAGCTTTCCAAACAGGAGCTACTATGTCCTATACTCCACAGGCCCAACCTCCACCATCACAACAGCCATCATATCAACTCCCATCACAGATGATGGTGATACAGCCAAAGCCAAGACAAACTACATTGTATTTGGAGCCTAAGATAACAACAAACTATGATGTAATTCGAAATCAGCCTCTCATGATAGCACCAGTTTCAACTGACAATAATTATGCAGTTTCCCAATTGGGCAGTAAATACTCTACCTTGGACTTAAGGATAGGGCTAGATGAGAGAAACAGCATAGCAAGCAGCCCTATATCAAGCATATCTGCAGATTCATTCTATGCAGATATAGACCACCACCATACGCCCCGAAATTATGTGCTGATTGATGATATAGGAGAACTTACTAAAGGAACAGGAGGACTTGGTTCCAGTTTTACCCTCCATGAGAAAGATCTGACCAAAACAGATCGACTGCTTCGCACAACTGAGGCCAGGAGAGCACAAGAAGTGTCAGACTTCCTAGCACCACTGCAGACTTCTTCTAGGTTACATTCCTATGTTAAAGCTGAGGAAGATCCAATGGAGGACCCTTATGAGCTCAAACTTCTGAAACACCAGATAAAACAAGAGTTCCGTAGAGGTGCAGAAAGTCTTGATCATCTGGCTGGCCTGTCACAGTATTACCATGCAGAGGGCAGCTACAGGCATTTTCCAAAATCTGAGAAATACAGCATAGGTAGGCTTACTCTTGAGAAACAGGCTGCTAAACAGCTCCCAGCAGCCCTCCTTTACCAGAAGCAATCAAAACACAAGAAAGCTTTGATAGACCCCAAACTAACAAAGTTTTCACCTATCCAAGAAAGCAGAGACCTTGAGCCTGACTACTCAAGCTATATGACTTCTAGCACTTCAACACTTGGGGGAATTACAACGAGGGCAAGGCTTCTTCAGGATGATATCACTTTTGGCCTTAGAAAAAACATCACTGACCAACAGAAATACATGGGGCCAGCACTGACTTCATCCATTGGAGGAGGCCTTGGGACTGCACTAGGTCCAACAATGAGATCCACATTACAAGATGATTCAGACAAGTCTTATAGCAGTGGTAGTAGATCTAGGCCCTCATCTAGACCATCCTCAGTGTATGGGCTTGATTTGTCATTAAAAAGGGATTCTTCCAGTTCTTCTTTAAGACTGAAAGCCCAGGAAGCTGAACCCTTAGATGTTTCCTTTAGCCATGCTGCACCTTCTGGAAGAACTAAACCCACCAGTCTACCTATTAGCCAAAGCAGGGGAAGGATCCCTATAGTAGCGCAGAACTCAGAGGAAGAGAGCCCACTAAGTCCTGTTGGCCAGCCAATGGGCATGGCAAGAGCAGCAGCTGGACCCTTGCCACCAATTTCTGCAGATACCAGGGACCAATTTGGATCGAGCCATTCATTACCTGAGGTCCAGCAACATATGAGGGAGGAGTCACGGACTCGAGGCTATGATCGAGATATAGCCTTCATCATGGATGACTTCCAGCATGCAATGTCAGACAGTGAAGGTAAATTAGGCCTCAGACTGGTATCTTACTATCATAACACAAATCCTCATTTCTATGCATGTGTCTAATTTTTGTTATACTTCAAAGACTCATTCTTTTTTCTGTTCCTTGGTGCATCTTCTGTGTATCTATATTTTGGGGGTTTGATTTGTCTTGTTTATTTGATATTTTTTATTTTACACTTACATCAGTTCCTGGATGTCGTCAAGCTATTCTAGCATGCTTACTATATTGCTGTTGATTTGCTTACTCTTTGGTTTGCTTGTGGATTTTCCTTTTCACTTGTTGATGTCTACTTTTCTAAGAATGTTGTGTAGAAATTTCCATGTACAATACAGGCCCTTCCGTCAGTCTTTCTGTGGAGCCTTTTCCTATGACTGTGGATCATTGAACTTATTTGCAATATTTTTTGTTGAGATTTGGAAATAATTTCCCAAATCTCTAGAAAGCTCTAGAAATTTTATTTGCATGAAATTTCATAATAGAATTCAAGAACTGATAGTTCCATCTCCAGATGCATCATGTTAGATATAGAAATAGTATGTTCATTAAGTACATATTGTATGTTAGAACCATATAGAGCTTAACGTGATAGCAAAATTACATTCTAAGTATGGTTTGTTGAAAGCATCCAGTCACGTGAACTTCTGTGCATTCTGAATTGTGATGATGTAAGATAACTTGTTCTTTGGATGGTGCAAGACAATCTCATCCTTCAATAAACTTGTATAAACTACTTTACTTCTAATGATGGATTATGCAGCGCAGCTGGTTTTATATGCACCCCATACAACATGTCTGCCAAATAAGCACAAGAGTTTATCTCACTTAGGTTTATGAAAGGGATCTTTCTGATGTATTATAAATGCAATTAAAAATGTTTCTTCTGAGTAAGTATAGCAGAATGTTAAAGCTGATGTTGAGTACTAAATAGCTGCAAAATATGTGTCAGTTTTGTTTGAGTCAGTTCAGATTTAATATATTCTAAATTGTTTAAAAATCATAAAGACAGTTTGAAAGAAAATGAAATTAAGATGTTCAAAATTGTATGCGCTCCCTTAACTTTTTCTTATATGTATTACTGCACAATAAAAGCAACTTTGCATGCGCCATATTGTCTGTAAATGGCAGTGATTGTCTCAAAAGACACATTTGCATGATTATGAAGTAGAATGGTTTATTTTTCAGGTTTATATTAACCTCCATGTTCATTATTGCATTATGGCTTTTTTACATATGCTGAATTTTTCATAAACATTACAAAACTGAATATATTTGCCTTCCTTGATACTACAATATATTGAAGAGTTTTGTTCTGTAAGTTTCTTTTCTTATTTCTTAGATATTTACAACCCCGTCATGAAGTCTGTGTTTCAGGGAAGATTCAGGATCATCAGCTTTTTATCAGAAGATTAAGTGTTTTTACTGTTCTTAAATTCTTAGCACACAGAGTCTTATAATTAAATCTGAAGGCAGTTGAGAGGAACCCCATAAGCCACAATTCATATCCTTCTTAAATAAGTAGGTGTTACCTTGTCTCAACAATAGTTGTCGTCCTAGGTCACATTGTGGGACACAGGACTTTTCCTCCTGAAAACTTAAGGAAAACCAAACTGTACACACAAAAAAAAACCAAAAAAACAACAACAAAAAAACCTATTTGGTGCTATTCTGCCACAGATAAACAGGGCATAGCAAATTCTATTTGTGTAGAGTGCATTATATTTATTGCATATTTGTACAAGGAATCCATGTTACATTTTAGGTTGAACATGTTTTAGTTTTAAATTAGTCTCTGATTAGTTGCAGTCTCTTAGAAGTACTATAATTGAATTCACATGTTCATTAGTAGAATGAATACCCTGAATACCAGGGTTTCCACTTTTACAATATTTCTCTACTTCCTGTCAAGCTTTTGTTTCTTTAGAAGTATCTTATTTTTGCTCCATTTTGTGTAAAGTCTTGGGAAATCAACACACTTCATAACATTATTTTCAAATATGCTGTATAATAGCAAGTAACTTGAATTGAGAAACATTCATATAATTTGGATGTAAGATAAAAAAATCTTCCAAAGAAACAATTCCAGTTCTTCAGAAGGATATGACCTTCTTTTCTCTGTACAATACTTTGCTCTTAGTGTCCTGACAGTGGAAAACTCTTGCATGGTGTTGATGAGATTTTATTAAAAGAAATCAATCTTAAGCGCTACCTTAGGAAACCTCTTCTTGAGCTAAAGCTTGAATTTTCATCTTTAAAGACTTTTAAAAACTAATGTAAGCCAAGATATTAAATTTTAATTGTTTTTCTTCAATTCAAATTGAGAGATATGCTTGACTTTCTGCTCAGTTTTTATAGTCACTTTCCATAATAAATACCAGAAGACAATAGAAATTTTGGACTTTGAGGCCAAAACTACTGTTTTTCACTAGGCACACTTGCATAGCACAACAAATCTTAAAACCGTGCTTCAGCACCTAAGTAGTACCTACAAAAGGATTCCAGACTTCAGCAGGTTAAGAAAGCATTTTTAGTGTTGAAGAAGCACAACATCCAGAGCTTCCCATTGAAAAGAGCTAGCATTTTGAGTTTTGCAACATGCAGTGCTCCTAGTACCATGGAAGCTCTGATCCACCAAACAGAGCTTTACTAACCCCATACCTGCCACAGTTTCCACAAAATATTAATTAATGTTGGATTGAATAATAACTTTCAAGGATGCTGAAGCTAGCACTCGCTGCTGGTTAGCTGAGAAGATGTAAAATGTATAAAATGTACTCTTTTTCACCTAAAGGATTTTTTTTTCTTTTATATGCTAAATTGTCAATTCTACTTAAACAATTCTTCTAAATTTAGAAATTTAAAATTGAGATATGAAGACATCAAGACATCAACACAGCTGACCCCTTGTAATTTTTCATCTGTGGGATTTAGGATGATCACTATGAGTTCTCTGATCAAGTTTCTTGGATTCCACAGCCTGGAGTTCAATCTCACCTTGTTAAACTGTGTGTGATTAACAGCAGGGGACCTTATTGACTGCAGCAGGATTTTTTTACAGGTGGAACCATCTGTCTGCATATTGTTAGCCTCAGAAAAAAGGATGTATCCTCCAAGACAGTCAGTGATTCATCTTGGCTGTTCTCAGGTTTCTAGCTAAAACAAATCCCAGTGAATCAAGCCAAAACCAATTCCGTGTGCACGTATATATGAGTGTGGTGTGTGTTTATATAAAAAAAAAAACAAAAAACACACCATATTTCATATAAAATATGCACATTCATCACAGTTTGATAAGTTTGATAAAGGCTGGCCTGAAGTGCAACATGGAATTCTATATGTGCTAGCTTTTCAAAAGAAGAAATTCAGCAAAAGTTATTTTAACTGAACCAGAAGGAAATGACAGCTCAGCTAATGACACAGATTGTGATAGTCAGCATTAGTATTTGAGATCAGGAAAATGCATTAGGTTCTTCATGTAAGCCTCAGCAAGAAGTTATGTCAGGATGAGTTATGAACCAGCCTGCTACTCACAGGCACTAGTCAATTGGCATAAACGTATAAAGCATAAAGGATTTGCATATTAAATCATAATGGTTTATTGAGAGCAATTAATAACTACCCAGACAAGCATCAACCTTTAATAAAATTTCTATTTAATTCATGTATGCTTATCTAAGTAATATTTTCAAACCATTTTGTATTACATTGAATTTATGCACAGTAAAGAAGGAAGAGACTGTATAATATCTGAACCAAGATTAAGAACTGTCCAAAGGCCTAATATAATACAGAATGTTGTTTTAAACACATGCAAAATATTATTTTTTAAAAACTATGCATATATATTGATCCTTTTTTGGGGGAAATCTAATAAAATAATAATGAAAACCCAGAACTTTTTATTTTTCTCCTGTTAAACATTTTCTAATTATTTGTTAAACCATCTAGATTGTTTCCTTTAACAACTAAAACCAGAAGATTATGCACAGCACCGTTTTTCATTTTAAATTCTCTTCTGTGTCATGAAACAATTGTGTTCACTCATGTTACTATAGCAACAACTGACCTTATTTAAGGTTTGCAATTTTGGTGGTTTTGATGAAACAAATATTGTCTTTCTCTGAATTCCAAATTTATCTTGCTTATTAAAGCATAAAATTAAAACTTTCATCACAGTCTAATTAAATGCACATTGTTTTGATTGTCACTGATGGACAACATAGATAAAAATCTGTATACTGTATAGTGGAAATATTAAACACATAGAAGCTGATTCTGATCTAAATGGAGTGAAACCTGTCAATTCACCCAATCAGTAGTAGGCATAAGTATGTGTATTTGCAAAACAGATTTCAATGAAATGGTATTACACACAAAAGTGTCTCTAACACAGTAGGTTTTATACAGGTTTAAATCTGATCCAAGTATAAGTACATTAGTTTTACAGAATCATTGCAAAAAGAGCATTCTGGCTAACTTTCCACACATAAAGGTTCATACTGCAATATCAGGGGATGAAATTCAAAATAAGAAGACTTGCAATATTTCTGCTTAGAATTATAAAGAGTATAGATTTCTTCATATCTTCTTGCTTTTGGGATGATACTGATTTTATAAAGGAGTCTCTATTTTCTGCTAGGTAGCTCTAGAGTATTTCCAAAATATTTTGAAGAATATTCAGTTCAGAATTTTGGAAATTAATAGAGATTGGGTTTGAGGGCTGGTTTGGGGGTTTTGTGGGTTTTTTGGGTTGGTTTGATTTTTATTTTTTTTTCCCTTAGCCTACTGCAAAGTAACTAATTTGACTCATTTCTTTCATCAAACATTTTAGAGATGTGTGAAATCTGCAGTGTGTTGATCAGCTGCCAGAAGGAAGGAAAAGGCTATATCACTGAGCAGTGGGTTTCTTCTGGTATTTAATACCATAGTTTTGACAGAAACAGAACCTTCTCACTTTGCCGTATCACTTACACCTAAATTATGCCTGAGTTCAATGTCTCAAGTCTCGCCTGTAACTTTGCTTTAGCTGCATGGCCAATTGGTGACCACTATGCATGTTTGCTATGCGCAATGCACATTATTGCCTATGCCCACCACTGGATCAGAACATTTGACCTGTCCTTGGTTTTCAAAGCCTATCATCTCCGTCGTGAAGAAACAGATTGGTTTGACAAGCCCAGGGAGTCTCGTTTGGAGAATGGACATCCCCTTGACAGAAGGCTGCCAGAGAAGCTGTCCCACTCCCGACCACCAAGTCAACATCAAGATCAAATAAGCTGTCAAGTAAGCCATGCCTTTACTCTTATGAAAGTTCAACAATTTAATCACGCTGTGCAAGTGTAGGGACTACAGGTTTAATCAAATTCCAGCTGCATTCAACTGAAGAGCTGTTGAACCTGTATTTGTCATCACTACTTGATCATAAAATTAGAGCCTACAATTTGTCTACAATTCAGTATTAATTTTGCCGGTTGTCCTTTGATTTTTGAAACATAACTGAAAGCAGTAAATCTGCTAACCAGAACTATCTATACATTCAGTATTCCTATTAAAAAAAAAAAAAGTGTAACAGTCCCATTTTATCTTATCAGCTTTATCCCATCCAAATTCAAACACTTCTTTTAATAGTTGGAAAAGGGCTGCTTTGTCTTACTGACACTCATTCCCACTTTTAGATGATCACTATAATCCCAGCATTCTGTGATCTATTACTGAATAAATCAGCAGGACTTTATCAATCTAATAATTAAAATGTTTCATTTATTACAGTATGAACTAAAAATACCATATTATTCTTTTCAAGATTGCTGACTTCGAAGTCTTGGTCACTTCAGTATACCATGACATTTCTTCTTTTTATTAATGAAGCTTACATATTTCAGATATTTAAGGTCTTCACTTGATTATTGCAGTTATCATTTTACACTCTATTTTCCATGAAATGCAATGGATGCAAGAGAAGGTATTACATAGCCCCTTTGTGGTACTTAATAGCTTATATTGCTTGTACTAATTCCTCAGGTAACATAGGAACGGGAATATCATGTTGTCATGCAACCTTCCAAACTTTTTTGCTGGTGAGGATTTTTAATGACATTTGGCAATAGAATATAGGTTTTATAAAGTAAGGATGTGGATTTTTATGAAGTAAACACTCAAATATCTTGCAATGCAAGATGTCATTTGTTTTTATTTTCCTCTCTTTTCCTATCTGCAGTTTAGCATATATTGAGATTTGCACAGCCTAGGCTGCACTGAGTCTATCCATTTCTTGTTGAGAAAGAGGGTTTTACAAATTTTACAAGTATCTATTCAAATAATTCACTCTATAAAGCAATTTTATTGCAGGAGAAAAGATATTTTAGAGTCTTCACAGCTTTTAATGTCACTGGCAATGATAAAAGCTGTCTATCTGAGCACTTAAATCCTCATAAGAAACTTACATTGTTCTGACCATACAGTATTGTATTTGGCCACTACAGCATCATGAGGTAAAATTAAAAATTTCCCTTGAATTTTTTTTTTTTTTTTTTTCCCCAAATGGTTGCTGTTATCCTGAGCTCTGTGATATGGAGGTGCTTGGTAAAACTTACTTAACTTTCACAACTGGAGAGCTTTTCTCCTGGGAAACAGTAACTGGTTCTGTGTGGTACCGTGTAAAGTCTCTGCAGCAGAAAATTGTTGTGGAAGGAGAAGCTTTACAACAGTTCTGTCCTCATCTGTTTCCATCCAGGTTAGCTACTGTCATTCACCCACTGGTATGAAATAGTGTGTCTGCAGAAGGGAGAAATACCAGGTCTCACCAACTGTGTGTCATCTGTTTTGTCAAAATGTTAGTCAGAGCTAGTGTACATTAAATACCTTCAGTAAATATATTTTTTTGATATAACTTAAAAAAATAAACCCAACTATTACCAGATGGATCCACAAATTAAATTACTTTAAGACAAGAGAAAAAGGCTCAGGGCTGGTTCAGAAAGTTTCATTAGCTCCACACTAAATTCTGAAAGTAAAACACTTAGCAATAGAAGCAAGTAAATCAGTATTAACATCTCTATTTTTTACAATTCATGTTAAAGCTCTCAAGAAAAATTATTTTCAGGCCAAGTAGTGTGCTGAAGTAAACTCTCCCTAAAAGCTTTTTCAGCCCTGCCTCTTCTGTAATATAAAAGTTACTGGATTTACTGTCCTGTGACTCCTGCCTGTATCCACAACTCAGTTCTGCAGAGAGCTGTGGTGTCCAAGCATAATATAATGCTGGATTCTACATCCAGACTATCTGAACAGGTCCACCTTATCCCAGAGCTTTCTCTGTCAAGAGACTTTCCTGAAATCAGTTAGGAGGATGATTTCCTAGTTAGCATAACAATTAAGCCATTGCTACTCCTTTAATATCCCATACTAAGCATAAACCAGGCACAAAAGGAAGTATTTGCATCAGTAGTACTAATCTGCTTCTAATGTATCAGTCCATGTTTCCAAACATGGAAACACATTTATTGACTGTAAATGTGCCATTTGTATTTTATCCTTTATAAAAAATGTATTTTACTAACCACTAAGATATTTGTATTCCAGAAGGTTTTGTTTTACATGTGTGAAATATCAATATTCTTACTACATGAAATCAGAACTGCTTATCCCAGAGAGCTTGTACAACTAAAGGTAATAAATAGAGCACAGCCCCGTACTTTTGGGGCAAGAATGCAATGGAGTGACAAGCCTGAACTTCCAGGTTTTATATAACCTAGTTGATTATGTGCACATACTGTATTATCCATATTAAAATATATTTGTTTCTATAGCAACTTCTGTGGAGCTACAGGGTATTCTTAAATCACATTAAATTGCAGCGCAGTTTAGTATCTTAATAGCTGTTTCCCAATATAGTGATACTGAACTGCTTGCCTAAGGATGATAAACATGGTTTAAACCTAATCAATACATAATCTATTACAAATTTATCACTGATTCCCTGTTGACATCAACAGTTTGCTTAGTCACTGCCAGTTGACCAGCAACTTCTTTAAATCTCCAATCAGCAAAGCTTTTTTTTATTATTACCTTCTGTGAAAATCATTTTACATCCTGAACTAAACTGACTGTTTCTAACAGGTTGGAAGGAACAGTAGGAGGAAGTGCCAGGGGAGTAAGTCATCATTACAAGGAGATGGACAGTGAGAGTATATTAACAGGAGATAAGTAGCTTGACTGTAAGGGGTTTTAAATTCAGAACTTCCAGTGATCATAAGTGGGACATTTTAATGAATAATAAAAACCAGACTCATCATAATACCAGCGTATTGTCAACAGTTCACTTTGGCAACAGTTTCCGATAACAAAAAGAAGGCAATAACTCTAAAGATGCAACCTTTTGAATGTTAATCCCCATTTCTAAAGGCCTTCAAAAAATAAATGCTCTTCTTGGTTCATGGGTCCGTACCATTCCCTTGAAATTTAATCTGTGCCTTTCTAGGGGAACTTCTATATTAAAGATTATAAAAAATGGGTCATGAGGTGAGCAGTGGAGTTAAAGTGAGAAAACAGGGTTTATGATAGAGAGCCAGAAGGCTACCTGCAAACTTTTGTTCCACATTCTTTAAATCCATCCTGCTTAGTTTTGACTGCTTTCCAGCTACCAAGGGAATTTCATTCCTGTTTGTAGTATACTAGTTTCTCTCTTTGAGCTTGGAGGGAGAAGGCATTTTCTGATTTAGATTCTGTAGAAATATGATGAGAAATGGGACATTTCCAAATTTAGTGTAAATGATAAAATACCTACTCTAATAAGATTAGATGCCCCCTCACTGTAATTCAAGACAGAATTTAGCAGGCCGTTTCTCATATTTGGTCACTCAGAAATGTTCTCACTGCATGCCAGAATGACTTCGAAATCAAAAGTCAAGGGTCAATGTACTGACTGAATTGCAGAAGCAAAGGCCGCTCTGCAACTGATTAATGAGCAGGAACATTGTATTTGTTAAGCTTTTCTTTGATGCTTCTTTTGCAAAATGTCTGAATCATCAGGGATCTATCAGGAAAGATAACTTTCTACGTTTAGGATTCCTAGCGAACTTGACATTCGTGCTCTGCAGAGGACATGATGTAGTGATTCAAAGGGGCAGAATTAACGTAGTTATGGAAATTCTTGATACCCTCTCCCACAGGTCTTGTACTCTCATACAAGTACCTATGATACTCAGAAATTAAATAAGTAATGTGTAACCCATCATCTTGACATCTTGTTCCTGGATACCTAACTCCGGTAAATTTTCCCTCGGAGACTGTATTTCCTAAAGGACTACAACCAGGAGCAGCTGCTGAGACTTACCTTATCAGGCCCTGTATAATAGGTTGGTGGAAGAGGCGCAACACCCTTTAAAACCAGAAATTACTGTGGCTTTGATGACCTGGTCCAAAGACCATTTAACATATTATAGCTGGTACTGTGGTCTTTGCCCAGAATACTAAAATGCACTTTATGCATTTTATCTCTTAAATACAGGACTAAAGAAATTTATTCTTCTTAATTGTCCTCCTTACCTAATAAAGTTTCCTTACATGAGTCTTCCATAATGTTTCCTTTTCAGACAAAATATGTAAAGACAATGAAGGGAAACTAAAGTGCAAGTTTAAACTGTTTTTCTGTAACAGTGTTAGAAAACCTTAGCACATTTATTTGCCATTCATTCCAACTTTTGGAGAGGCTTTGATCCAACTCATAACATGAAACACATGACCAGAGCTTAAATTCCTGGAGGAAAAACTTTAGACTCGTTTAACTCACTGAGATGAAACCGCCAAGGGCCTACTGAGTAACCAGCTGAATAGTCAGATAGAAGGGCCTCCTGGCATATATCCAGGAGAAGAGAAATCAGCTTTAGTGAAAGTTAGATGTGAACAATTGGAAGCACAAAGTATTTTGTGTTCTAAAGGTTTTCAAATATACTACTAAATTATCCAGAAAAAAAAAAAAGTAACTATTCTTTGCATTATCTGTTTACGGCAGCCATGTTTTTTTCCATTTATTCTGACACATAACTTTCTGAAGGTAAACGCCTAATGAAATGTCCAGTTTAAATACTGATTCCCACTAACAATAAAAAATAAAATGATACCCTGAATACTAATAAACTTTAATGCTTTTATTCATACCTATCCTAATGACCAAGATTTAAACTTACCATAAAATTATGGAAGTGAATGTAATGAGGAAGTGATAGACTAAAGAAGGAGACAGTCTATATTTTCTGAAATATTTGTCAGCAATCATGCACAATATAGCATTGAATATTCTTGGATTATTATTTATGCCAAAACCAAATCTTGCTAAAGACAGATAAGATACAGCAATTAAAAACAATGTGAATTATATGACCTGCAGTGTTCTTCAGTTAAATTGAACTGCTCGCAGCAAAATAGATCTGAGCTAAGGATCTGTTCAAATGTGTTCATGTGCTTCTCTTGTTACATTATTTTGTATTTCTTTTGATTTAATTAAAAATACAATTAGATGCATTCTTCCAGATATTTTACAATTGTGTGTAAGCTACAAGTGACAAATACATTATTTTTGCTGTTGAATTACACTCGCTGAGTTTCTGACAATATCACTAGAAACATGACAGTGTCCCTATGCATTAATAAGCATGGAAGTCTCATGGCACTTCGTACACTTCTGGCAATATTAGACCCAATGTTCTGTCAAAATTCAGTGGTAAATCCTGAAGTCTGTCTTGCTTCGTGTTCTGATTTATTCTGGAGTACACATCCACTATCAAATCCATGATCTCTTTAATGTCTAAGACTAATTACAGTCAATACTGCTCTCAGTGTGTTACGGGAGGATTTCAGCCTTCTAGATACAATGTCATCCATTGAATAAGAAGATGAATTACCACAATAGATGTATAAACTCTTCTGCTCACTGTAGGATGAAGATAAATGAGTCACTGGACTTCTTTTCTTCCCCTCCCATCACTTCTGTGTGCTATCCACTAACATCATAAACACTCTAGGGCAAAAGCTGGGTTTGAAGTGCTTAGTTCAGGAGGAGCTTAATCTCTTGAAGTGCTACTTAAATATAAATAATAATAATAAACTCTTGGCACAGAATGCTGATACACTCAGCTGCATAACCATGCTGATTAATATTGTCCCACTGGCTCCTTGAATCTGGCTCCCTGACATGGTCCTTCTTGTACCATTGACTCAAGGCAGTTGGGATCATCCCAGTTGGAAACGTGGCTCTTCAGTGCCTATTGTGGAGTTGCATTGCTTTCAGCTTTCACACTTTCCAGTACCAGCCCAAGTAAATGTTGAAAATTTTCATATAAAATGTAATCCTGAAAGTTTTAGGTTGGGTCTTTCAAAAAGCTTTTGAAATTTGGTAACACGAGGTACATTGGAATATGTGGATTTGCTGGAACTAAAGCAGTGACTTGTAGCTGTGTACACATTCAACTACCATTTTGTTTAGGTTTGTATGAATAGGATTTTATAATGATTACAGAAGTTATGTTTAATTTCATCTCTTGAACATTGCTTGAGCAAAGGATTAATGTTAAGATGAGCTACAGAAGACAGTGTCAACCTTCTAGTTATTAGGAAGTAAAAATTAGAACTAAAGCCATATTCAAAATGAAGCTAACATTCATTAACCTGCAGAAGGATTTTGCAGTCTGACAAGCGTCTTTAAACTTGGGGGAGTGTTTGAATTGTGAAGTTGTAATATTTAACTGGATGAAATAAGTTTGTTTGCTTGTTTCTGTTTCAACTGTCTAAAAATATTGATACAATTGATGTTGGTTTATCTTTTTATGACATGCACATTTGTGTTCCTCAGATAAATGGGAAACCCCTGCAGTACATTTTCCCTCATGCAAGGCTCAAACTGCTGAGAGACCCAAAGGATCACACAGTTTCAGGTAAAAAGCAACAACCCTCTACGACACATAATAATTGATTTGATTAGCATGAATCATGCAAAAGATTTCCAGTATTAAAAATAGCTCCTGTGTAATATCAGCAGGGAATACAGTGGTCATTTCAGATCTTGCTGGTTGGTTATAACAGAAAGCAGCAGTGCGGAAAAAAAGGTCACAACATCTGTTCAAGACACATAAGCTATACAGACATGAAAAACAGAGGGAAAATCTGTTGTGTTATACATATGAGCAGTCTGTGTTGCTGTTGCTTTTTACATAACTTGATATTCTCTGTATGAGAAGTTTCTGTAAAACAGGCTTGTGTAGGTGTTCAATATGCATAGAATCGAGAATTTTATTCTTTCTGTACTGGAACTTCTCTACAGAGGGGGGGTAGAAGAATAATCAGATCCCTTTTTTTCTGTGCTATCTTCACATGGAGACATTTATCACAGGACTTCAGATTTATTCTCTTATCCCTAACGCTAAAACAAATGTTCATGTAAGTCTGAGTCTTCTTGCAAACAGATGAAAGTGGCAAAGGTTATATTCATTCACCTCCCAAACTCTGAGCAGGGACACAGTGTGATGTTTTCACATATCACACTGGAAAAGGCCGCCAGTTCCAAGGTCTAGCACAGGTAAGGTCTGTCTGCGTGAGCTTTTGGAGTTTCACTCTTTCTCACATCTAATACTGATAAGGAACTCAGAGGTTTTTTAATATGCTGTTTGTCTTTCAGAGGTGCATGCTTTGTCCTGAAGTTGTCAGGCTTTCTTTTAACTCACTTAAAAAATTCTAAGAGTTTGTTTCAAACTGTTCCTACCAGAAGTAATTACCAACTGCCAGCTCTGTTATTCCCTAGAGTATTAAGGAGAAAGTGGCATAAACTCACTTGAATTGCTAAATACTGATTTCACAGGTTTTCTGGCAGTAAAATCTTCCATCTCCAGTATCTGCCTCATATTTAGGGTGTTAAAAGAACGTTCTCTGTATATTAGGGGGTATTTTCTTGCTAGTCAGCCTCATACCCACTGATTATTCCAAGATACAGAGAGACCCCTCTGCCCGTCCATCACAGCCTAAAAGCAGCCACTGGGTCCACTGCTGTGTCAGCCTCCACTGCTCCAGGGCCCTTGCAGTTCAGAGGAGCTTCTTGGCATCCCAGTGTAGATCCTTGCCCTGCAGGGCAGTGAGTAATACTGTGATCCAAGCTGCTCTTTTACTCAAAATCAAGTGGAAAAGCAACCACACAACTGTGTATAGCTCATGATTTATTTTACTGAAGGCCTGCTCTTCTATGTAAAGTTATTTACCTTTACGCAATGTGAAATGCCTGTTCCAAATTCTCCACCAGCTCTTTGCTGGCAACCATGGCAACATGGTGTGCATCAGGGTAAATGCCTTGTAAGCCATGTCTGGAAAACCAAGGTGTAGATACTGACTTCCCATTTACTAATGCCCTGCACAACATGCCATGACATAGGATCAAGTGTTTACTCAGGATCCTTCTAAGGTTGCATAACCCACACTGAGATTGCTCACTGCTGTAGCTATGTTATGTTCTACCTAAATTCTAATTGAAGTAAACAAGCTTGGCTATTTGTCTACAAGCTGCAAGCATACTTTTGGTTTTTAGTCCAGAGCACCCTTGCATACCTGCAGTCATACATCTGTATGATGCACATACAGATTTTTCTACAAATATGAAAAGGCTTAAATGCAGATTGCACAGAAAAGAGCCAAAGCTGGCATAGGGTACCAACAAGGAGTATCTGAACTAGAAGAAACTGTACTTTTCACTCTTGATTTTGTACCTCCTTTCCTCCCCCTTCTCTCAGTGTCTGAAGGATTAAAGTACCAGAAATTCTCTTTAACTGTGCAGTGCTTTCTAATTAGCCTTCAGCTTTCCAAATGACCTTTCCAGAACCAAACATGTTTTATTTCACTTTGTAAAAAATTGACTTTTGATTTAACATTATCTGCAAACTAATAGCAAGTATCTTTGTTTATTAACCAGAGGCAGACTTAGAAATCTATTATGCAGCAAAAGGTACCTAAAATATTGGTAGATGAAACAATATATACTCATACCACCATAGCAACCTCACTACAAGATTATTGGACATTCATCTATATGCCATGGTTGGTTGTTAGGCTGGCTGGTTTCTTTCTCTTCCTTTTGTTTCTTTGTTTCTTCCCTTCCTCTGTTTTTTTCCTCTCCCTCTCTTTCTTATCAAGAGTACCAAAATGAAGTATTGAGTAATTTTAATTGTTTGCCTTATACTTGCTGCATAGGCACAGGAAGAGTGTATGTTAAAAAACTCACCCACCCTCACTAAAAATCACATGGGGAATCATATCTCTGAGAGAACAGCCAGCCACTGCCTGGGTGACAATGGGAGTCTCTGTTGCAACCATCCTTTCAGTAGCATCTTTTATCAGACAAGACTCCCTGAGCTGTTGTGTTGCTGGAGTCTTGTCATCTGGGCTGTGGTCCTGGGGGACCACAACAGCATATGCATCATAAATTGTCTCTGATTATCTTATGGTAGATAAAAAACATCCTTTGTTTTAGCTGTGCACAGAAACATGTCTTACACGATCATTTCTGCACATGCAAGAACAGTCTCTACTGGTGATTTAAATGATCTATGTGCAGTTTGGCCATTTCAGCAGCAGGAGCTGCCTGGGGAGATGCCTGAGACTGGCAGGTTCTCTTCTCAGGGAATTGCTGAACATATCTTACATATACAAATAGTGTACCTTAACTGGCATGTGCACAGCATGAGCTACATAGGGATATCTCCCAAACTGTCCACATGTTCCCACTAAATCCTGTAACTGTTGATCAGCTTCCTTGCTAGGAAGCTAGATAGTGGTTCAGACCATCAGCACACCTTGCTAGGGAGTCCTGGGCCAGCTGTAACTATAGGGCAAGGATGAATTTCATCCCAATATCACCATTATAATTTGAATTCCATAGATCTCATCACATATTTAGCATGGTAGAGGTTGCTGTGTGATTATTGATCTAGAAACTGTCACATCATGAATATCAGTTATAAGAACAGTCCCAAATAATTTAAAATTCAGGCTGTATCACTACATATTACGTGCAGACGCATTCTGTTTATTTGCTTTCTTGATTAATGAAAACTGTCTCTGAGGTACAGATGCCTTTGATGCCTCTTACATAGTCTGGCATAATTTTGCACACAAAAACATTTACTCCAAATTTTAGCATGTGAATGAGGTGTTTAAAAAATGAGGAACCAGGCCAAAATTTTGATGGCAAGAGAATAGCTCTGAATGTAAAATAGATGTGTACTTACTAGCTGGCCACTCTCTTAAGGGTTCTTGTTTCTTTAGCATATGCCATCATCTGAACTCTCAGCTCTTCTAATCAAGGTATGCAATGTCCCTGTCTCAGGCAACAGTGATAGATACGGGGAATTGCAAAGGATTTTCTCTGTGAACATTGACTGATAATTTGCAATTATATAGTTTTAAAGAACTGGCATCATGATTATTTTGAGGTGCCAAAGCAATGATGGCAGTGATCAATGAATGATCATATAGCAGTATTTAATGCTCCAGAAACTCACTGTTTGTTTTCACTGAGAATCCCATGTTCCTTTTGGATCATGTAGAGTAGCAGCATAAGCACCGTTTTATACTGCTAGTAGTTTTTCTTCTTTTTTTGACATGTCATCATAGTTATATGTGAAAAAGTGAAGTGAGGACTTGGCTATTGAAGTTAATGAAAGCATTGGCAATACCTTTGGAATGCTGCAAAAATAAAAAACTTAACATTGAGTTGTTCCTGGTCAGAAAGCTGTTTAGGTGCACTCTTTGAAAACCCAACAAGGCAGACACATCTCAGTAGGAATATAGGCACAATGAGGACACTCAGTTAAAGGCAGTGTCTGCTGCTTTGCCTCACTGAGTCACAAGTAATTCTTCCTTTTCCAAAGGTAAGATATTCTGTGTTTCAGCAAAATGTACCTTTGAGCAGCCAGACTGCCCATTTTGTGGAACATTTTCTTCAATTCTGTTTAAAAAAAAAAAAAAGGCAAAGAAGCAATTCAGAAAAAGCTGTGAACTTTATAGTGGAGTAAAGAAGAGAATTAGGCTGTGGGCAGAAGACTTCAACCCTAATCTTCACTTCAGCAGTGATGTCAGTGAAACTGCTAAAAGGATGACATGGTAGATGTAACACTGCACACACGTCAGAGCTGCCTCATACTCTCCATAAGGTTTATTAATTTCTGCACACAACACGACACTTCTGCATCATGCCAGCTCATGGGTTACTTATCCAGAGAGAGGGGAAAAGTGTTTGAAATTTTCCTATGTCAAGCCCTCCCTGCTGTAGGAAAAATAACACTATATATTTAGGGTTCTTTCAGCTGTGAGTTCCTCAAATACAGATCTTACAGCAAAATGCTGAAGTGCAGTGCATACATGATTACTAATCAATTAAAAAAAAACCACATTGAATATAATCACAGCCTGTGTTGAGTATGATATAGCAAAGGCAGAGGGTGAGAACTGTAACCCACCTCTTGCTCTCATACTCTCTTCTTAGAGGATTACTTACCCTTTCTCTTTGGTTTAATGGTGTGAAGACTGAGATAATACTTTGCACACAAGAATAATACCCCCCTCTGACACTCACTTGTCACTGGGGAAGGATTTAATCCTTAATTAACATTCATCATTCCCCCAGCCACTCTTTATCAGACATGTGGCATAGAAGGTAAAACCCCATAAACAGAAAGGGGCAGCTGTTACAGTGAAGCAACATCAGAGATTTTCAAATGAAGTCATATGGCAGTGAGGACATGAATGGAAATAAAGGGAAGGAGTGATGTCTGCTTGTGTCTTTACAACAATATTAGATTTTTCGTACCATTCAGCTTTTCTAAATTAAAAAAAAAACAACAAAAAACAACAAAAAACAACAAAAAAACAAAATGCATTTTTTGTATTTGTTGGA